GAGAGATGAGGTCAACGTGTTATCCTCTACTTTCGATAGATGACGGTGAGATCTATATAATTACAAGTCTCTTTGCGTATACTGCTGAACTGAATCTAACTGCTAATCCCGCATGCATAAGTGGGTACTTGATTTTGGTGCATCTTTTCATGTGACATCTGAAAAGAATTGATTTGAAAACTTGCATGAATCTAATACTTGACCTGTTGTGCTATGTGATAATTTTGCCTATACGATTGCTGGGATTGGTGACATTAATATAAAGTTTGACACTGGTTATGTGTACACTTTAAAGGATGTTGGATATATTTTTGAATTGTCTAGAAGTTTGATTTCAATAGGAAGACTTGAAAAAGATGACTTCATTGGTAAAATTGGAAATGCAATGTTAAAGATGATTAAGAGTGCATTAGTCTCCATTAACGGAACTAAGAGAAACAATATTTATATCAATACCGAAGAAGTGATTAGATGTTTGAACTCCTTTATCTCTTCTGCTAAGGTTGATCACACATCTACATGGCATAATAGACTTGCATACGTAGGCATTAAAGGACTTAAGCTTCTTAATGAAAAATGTGCATTTGGTAATGACTGTATGTCCGATTTGTCATTTTGTGATCACTGTGTACTTGGAAAGCATTATAAAACATCTTTTTTCACTAGTGTTCATAAAACTAAAACATGCTTAAATATGTGCATTTTAATCTGTAGGGGTCCTACTAGTAATCCTACATCGGGTGAGAATATGTATTTCTTGTCTATTATTGACGATTATACTAGTAAAGTGTGAGTCTATCTTCTGAAAGATAAATTTGACACTTTCCATTACTTTAATTACTAGAAGAGGTAAGTGAAAAACCAAACTGGCAAAAGGATTAAATTTTTAAGGACAGATAATGGCCTAGAGTTTTGTAACACTAAATTTGACAGTATGTGTAAAGAAAATGGAATAACAAGGTATAATAAGGTCCTTTACACTCCCTAACAAAACGGGATAGCGAAAAGAATGAATATAACTATACTTGATAAAGTGCATTGTATGATGTTAAGTTCTGATGTCCCAAAGTCGTTTGGGACAAAACTATTATAACTGCTTGTTATTTGATTAATTTGACCCCATCTGCTGCTTTAAATGGTGATACCCCTTATGAAAGGTAGTCTGGTAAACTGAATGACTACTCTATACTTAGAACTTTTGGCTGCGCTACTTTTTCCCATCAGAGTGAGGGAAAGCTTGAACCTAGAGCTAGAAAATGTGTCTTTTTAGGATACCCCTAGGTTGTTAAGGGTTATAGGTTATGGGATAGAAACCAAAAGGTGGTTGAGATCATCGTGAGTAGGAATGTGACATTTAATGAGGGTGAGATGTCTTGGCTTAAGAGTGAACCTAAACCTGTGAGTAAAACTGAACCAGGTAAAGAGATAGATCGGTTTAGGTGGAGTTAAGAAAACTTAGCACATCTGTCCCTACCACTCCAAATGAGGTGGAGACTCAGGTTCATGAACCTAAGGTGGAGAATAGAGATGAAGTAGTGATAGAAGAGCACACTGAGAAAGAAAATCCTTTAGCTAATTACAACTTAGTTAGGGATAGAGAAAGGAGACAAACGAGAAAACCTAGGAGGTTCGGATATGAATCTAAGTTAGCTTTCCAACATGCTAGTTATGAAGAACTAGTCGATAGAGAGCCAAAAACCTTTGAAGAGGGGATGAATAGCGAACAATCCAAAGAGTCGATTAAGGTAATGAAAGAGAAGATGAGTCCTCCAGAGAAGAATCGGACATGAGAGCTAGTACCTAGACCTAAGAATAAATCGACCGTCGATTGCAAATGGGTCTTTAAGGTTAAGGAAGGTACCAATAGCTCGGAATCCTTAAGATTTAAAGCTAGGTTAGTGGTTAAGGGCTGCACATAGAAGGGTGTTGATTATAATGAGATTTTCTCACTAGTTGTTAAGTACACTACTATTAGGGTCATGCTTGCATTAGTTGCACACTTTGACTGGGAACATGAACAACTTGATATAAAAACTATTTTTTTACATGGTGAGCTTAACAAACAAATCTTTATAAATCAACCAAAATATTTTTTTTGGAGATTACACCCCCCTGGAACCACCCCCACAGGCCCTTACCTTACCCCATCACCCAACCCAATCCCTAGAAATTTTTCAAAAATCGAAAACGTTTTTGGATTTTACACTCGATCACATGGAACCATTCCCATCCCCACCTGTAGAAATTTTCCAGAAATTTAAAGCATTTTCTGAAGATTACACCACACTTATGGACTAATTGTGTTCTTCGTGACCATACATGTGTTATATATGATTAATTGAGATCAAATATGTTTTCAGTGTGACTATCTGTGATAGTCTAATTTGTGATTGTACATAACCAAGTCCTAACCTGTGTTATTCGTGACTATCTTTGACCAAATTTGTTTTCAGTTTGATATTTGTGACCAAGTTAATCTTAACTATGACAGTATGTAACCATCACAATCGATTACAATTAGCATAAAATTGGTCACAATAAACACATACTTGGTTATAGAGGGTTACCACAAACAAATCCGAACACAGCGCAAACCAGTACCACAATCCACCACCACCTTCAACTTAAAACCGCAACCATAAATACTACCTTCACTAATCTGTATTATTTGTGACTAACTGTCTTCAAATTTGCCTTCAGTGTGACGTCTGTGATCATGTCAGTCTAATTTGTCACTGTATATAACCAAGTTACATACAATAACAGTTAACATAGATGTGGTCACAGATAGTCACATGAAGATAGATTTGGTTACACCCGGTTGTATTGCCACCACTATTCGCAACAATTTCGAGAACCAAACATTCACCATCTCATCATGACCACATACACCACCACCAACAGCAGAAATATTGTCGCCTACACCACCACTAACAGAACCATCAACAACAACAAAACTACTCTACATATCAGGAAAATCACTAGTACCATTTTCAAAACACCAACAACCATCCCAAAACTCTAGTTAAACAACAGATCTGATGAAACAACCACCTGCCACAACTGATCAAACAACCGCCTACACCACCACATCAAACAACAAGTTTGATCAAACAACCAACCAAATCAATTTCAAGCCGCTCAACAAAAATGCCAACGCTCACCATTGAAGTAATAGCAGCTCATTGATGGCCGTTGCATGCAGTGGTTCACCGTTACGTAGGAAAATGAAGGGTTAGAAAGGGGTGGGTAGGGGTGAAAAGTCGTCGTTGTACAAGAAGCACTCGGCAACTTACCCCTGAAGCAGCTATAACTCAAGGCAAGAAATCGTCACTCCACCATAGTGGTTTACTACTGCGTCGATAAATGGGGGTGGGTCAGTGGATGTGGTGAGAAGCCACCTCTATTTGTAGCAGGATCGGTGGCTCCTAGCAAGTAAAAATTGCCACTGTGCACGGCGAAGCGATACTGAAAAATTAGGATGTTAGAAAAGGGGTGAGTGATCAAGAGAGAGAAGGAAGAGGCACTAGAAATCGCTGCCGCACCAGCGGTGTCGGAAAATGTACTGTTAGAAAGGGGATGGGTAGGTAATAAAGGGCGAGAAGAAAGAGAGTGAAAGTTTTAAATGAAATTGGTTGGGACGAGTAAGAGTAGAGTGGATTATGTTTAATTAAATTTTTATTAATTATAATTATTTAATTCTAATTATAAACTAATTTACGAATTTTAAACTAATTCTCCTGATTTTTAATAAATAGTCTTTACTTGTAAGTTTCAAAGTAATTTTCCTGAAAAGCAATTACTTTAGGCCTGTGACCATCATGCCTCATCGCCTTCACCTAGGAGCCAAGCAAGTAAGAATTAGAAAGAGGCCATGCAAAGTCAGCACTTGACTTTGAATCGCCTATTTCACATGCTTTTCGGTCTGTGGAGGCCAATGAAGGTTACATGCCTAGAATGGCTGATTTTCAACCTTGATCATGCCTGTGATAGCCATATGTCTATGACTGCTGGGAATTGATACAATTAAAATTGATTAATGGGACGTTAGGGTGAGGTAATATGTCAAGCATTTAGTTAACCTCAACTCACATCTCTTGGTATAAATACGTACATAGTGACATTCAAGATTAATTTGAATTTGAATATAATATTCACAATCTTCGTAATGTTCTCTCTTCGATCCAGCACCTGTATTTTCGTCCATTATCTCTCCCATAGTCAAATATCTTACCCCATCTAACTTGAATGTCGAAGTGTTTGCAACAGTTGCATTCGGCCAGATCTACGATCACGTGTAGTCTAGTATGGTGTCATGCAGTTTAACGTGGTGTCGAAATGTGCAAGTAACATACATGTGGATGGAAGATTATTAAAGATGGGTTACTACGTGATCCTTGCCAAATTTTGAGATAAAAAATTTTGGGATAATTGTTTTTCATCTTGTTCATATATTTTTCTAGTATTGTCATTCTCAATGTACTCATCATATTAAATTATTAATAATCTAACAGTTATGAAATAACCTTTGGATTAATTTAAACCCACATCCCATTTTTTTGGCTCTTATGCTTTTATTCCAAAAATTTAACTAATTATTCTATTCTCTCTTTTTGGGTTCTTTTCTATCTATTTGAAGGTTTATACTTTCTCATCCAAAGAAAGCCAATTTAATTGAATCAACTCTTTGCCAAGAATATTAAATTTACAATAGTCTCCACCCTAAAAGGTTCTGGAATCATCAGGATTAATTAATTTCCAGATGCCAATTAATTAATAAATATGACAAAACCTTCCATATTAACCCCGAGATTGACATAAATTCGAATATTATCTCCATTGGGCCAATATTCTCGATCTCTAATCTTTTATGATCATAGTGCCGTTTATGGTAAATATTAATTACCTAAATCCACGTGATTATATATTTATATAAATCACTTTTACAACATTAAATTATGGTAATAAACCCATTCATATCCCACTCTTACATGGTAAGTCTCCTGGATTCTTAAGGGTAATTATGAAAGTATAATCCCAAAGCACTTCGGCTTGTGCTGTCTATATATATATAGCCTGTCATGTATTGAACCCACTAAACCCTAACAAAGAAATCTATATTCAATCTTTATTCGCAAAAAGTAATGGCCAAGTTTTTCCTCAACAGCCTTTTGCTTCTAAGGTTAGCAACTATTTTTCATGCAATGCAATTCAATGCCATCTTCTTTATTTCGATAGATTATTCTGCATGAACAAGTGTCGATGAAAAGAAGATATGTTTCTTTCTTTGGGGTTCGCAAAAGGAATTCATATAATCGACCTGACCCCATAATATTAAAAAAAGGCATTCGATTTTCTTTTTTGGCTCATCTAATTCTTTATCCTTTTACATGTGTCTATATGTAGCAGGAGAGCATCAACAATTGCAGCAGAGAGTACTAAAACGCAGACAGTGACGTCGTCCGTAAATAAAAAAGTGGCTGATTCTGTAAGAAAAGAAGTATTCTGGATGAGAGATCCGAAGACTGGAAACTGGATTCCAGAGACTCACTTTGAGCAGATTGATGTTGCAGAGCTCAGAGAGAAACTTCTTTCCAAGAAGACGAAATTATGAAGATTTTCAATCGGGCTTCCATTCTGAAGTTCTGGTGAAACCGGGCAGGAATTTCTGCAAGACCAATGTTCGTGAACGAATATCTTTTTCTTTTTGGCCTATTTTCAGGTTTTACTATGGTTGTAAATTGGAATCCTACTCACAATAGAATACTTTTGTGCCATTGACTGACTTCATTGTGGTGTTGGACTATGATATAAATAAATTTTGCTTTATATCATAATTTTCTTCCTTTAACCAATTTGGGTTGATCTATATTCTTATTGCTTCAAATAATTGGAAGTGAGCGTGGTCTAGCTCGATCTAATTTTGAAGCAAATCAAACAGAATTAATTGAGTGCTTTTGGAACGGAACCAACTTCCGATTCAATCTGATCCGATTCTTTTACTAATAAAAAATCCAAAAGACGTCGTAGGAAATTAAACGAAATCATATACACCCGTCAAGTGATTTAGAAGACATAATTACCAAACATTATCAAAGAACATAATTCTACACATCATTAATATTTTTCCCAGAGTGAGGTTAATAAAATTCATTTAACAAAAATAATAAAGCAAAATAGCAAACAGATTATTTCTGTTTACGCAAATTCTCTTACGGATTTTTTTGGTAAAACGAGTTAGCAAATCCTAATTGTACTTTACAAAAATTAAAGAAGAACCGGTATACAAATTTAAAAAAAATAAAATAAATCTAATTAATATAAGTTACTATTATTACACAAGCACCAACATATATAAAGTGTCATATATAAAGTGTCTGGAAGTCCAATTATTAAACAAACATGCCATTAATTCAAGAATTTCCATTAAGTCTGCTTTGGAGTTACAAATTCTCATTAAAGTTGCTTTTAAATTGCAAATTTCCAAGCGAACAATGTAAGATTATCTACATCAATCCTTTTAAAGAGTCGGTCCATCCTTTGCATCGATTTATATTATGAAAGTTTAAAGTCAAAATGTGAAAAAAATGTAAGTGTGAGAAATTACATATAAAATATAATTATGACTGTACTTACATTAGATCATCAATCAAGTTCCACAATCATTGAATCATCATTTGTGTGAGTATCAGTAGGGGTGGATCCAGGGACAGCTGGGCCGTGCTACAGCCCATCCCTTCGGCCCAAATGTTCATTAAAAAAAAAAAAGAATTTCCTTGATCCGTCACTGGGTATCAGGGTAAGTTTCTTAGCAAGCTCTACATTCCATTGAAAATTACAAAATCTCAATTTGAAAAAGCGTGAATAAAACAAAGATATAATCTAATAATCAAGAAGAAGAATAGATATTCTAATTACCAATTTTCAATTGGACCAATTCTTCCTGAAACTCTATCTCTTCAATGTCCACTCCCTATAGTCGGTCTCCCAAAAGTATAGAACGTAGCCTTTTTTACTTTTGCGTACAAATTAAAGCCTTAATTGCATTAGCTATTAAAGGACTTCTAAATGAATAAAAAAACATGCCCTCCACTACTTAATGTTGACTTGAAGCGATTGTCGAAATAGGAATTGCAAGTACGTTTGTTGCACTCTCGGACAAAATTGCATATAATTTAACTTCTACCACGTCAAAATTTCAAACTTGAATTCATAGAGTCTTCAGTTCCATTAGGTATCTCTAAATCTTGTCTTTTCCTAGCAGATTAGCATTGTTACTTTTAAAAAAATAAAAATAATAAAAAATAATAAAAAATAATTGCACCCAAAATCAAAATTGTTGGACTCATCCCAATCATTATATACAAAAACCTCCAATAACTATCATTAAAGTCACAAATACCATCATCTTCGTCATTAGATGCACTATGCCATTCCTTATCTAATGATTATACAACTCAATAAATTCTTGATTTCATCTTTTGTCAACTCAATGAAGCTACTATATATCATACAAGTGACCAACACAATAACTCCCATACTCCAACTTGTATCGAGAATCAAGTGCGACAACTATTATTAGTATTTTGTTCATTATTTCACCACCGCCCCCACTACTTGTCAAACTTACTTTTCATAGTCTTTTGTCATGTCACTTAATAAAGGATCTTGCCTACTACTCAATATTTTCAACAATTGTCAAATATTACAAATTCTGACGATATTTTTCCTCCAAATAATTTGTTAGAAGCACGTTTAAAGAATTATCTTTGCTCTCTTATTTTATTAAAGAAAAAATACAGTATACTGACTAATATTTTTAAAGTAATTTTTGGCTTAAAACCATTATCAAGAACAAGATGTACTATTTAATAGAAGATTGATGATAAAAAATGCAATGAAAAAAGTTGGAAATATAAGTACGATAATAAGCAAAGATTGAAGAACTCGAGTGTTTGTTTGAAGAACTCGAGTGTTGTTAAATTGTGATGTGATGCAATAAATAATACTATGGTATCAATATAAGTACCAAATCTAATTTCAATCATATACAACATTATCTACCACCAAAAATTCTTTTCTCCAAGCAATCTCAACGAATTGGAAATATACCCCAAAAATTCTCCTCTCCATAAAATCTCAACAAATTAGAATCTTGAATATTATTTTGATCTGTGGAAGGGATATATTTCACATTTGTTGATTTTATTTGATCGATCAGGTTTGCTATTTCACATTTATATCTAGATTTCGGTAATGTACCTATGCATTTAGTGTTTTCGAATTTGTTGTTTTGTAATCAGACTATCAACTCATGGGTACATTACAGAATTTGATGGGTCTTCGACAATCGGCCAGTCCCTTTTTCATAATGACTGGATTGAATTCTTCTGATTTCCTTGGTGGAAATTAGGGTTTCAAACTTTAGGGCATTTTTCTCGTTTTATATGTCCTTGGATTTTTGGCACTCGCCGGATTGGAAAAATTCATTAAATTAAGGTTTCTAATACATGGATTACGTGGGTTATTCTGAAGATCTTATTGGACGTTCTTGGCTACAATGAAGATCTAATGAACTCTCCATCCCTAAGCTAAGGCTTGATACGTGGATTGATAACCAAAGGACATCCTTCCCTTATAAGATAATTTTTACGGTGAGCTCTACCAATGTGGTTGTTACAATTGGTAACAAAAGTTGATATCTTTTGGGGATGACCTTCATCGGGGAAATGGTGAAATGGAGAAGGAAACTCCTAGAAGACGACTTGTTCTATGAAATAACCGAGGATATGGGCTAAAGTCGACCTCGGATTTGACAGGAAGGGTTAAATGTAATAACTAATAACTGGTGGAAATTACATTGCACCCTATCTTATTCCATATTTAAATACTAAATATTAAATAAACAATTTTCACCTCAAACCTCTCTCTCCCTGTATCTCTCCATACCCACCTTTTTTTCTTCCCAAATCCTAAAACCATTTCCACCATTTTCTCCCTCTCTTCATCGTCTCAATCTATTATATCTCTACTCTTACTGTTGGGAATCTACTTATACATGCACAGCGGAATTTAAAATATATTTCGATTCCCATCCAATAGATCTCATTGTGTTTGGTTAGGAATTGTGATAGGATTGTACCTTTTCCAGATCTGCAATCCTTTTGCTTTTCTTTTCGTTCCACAACTCTGATTCGCCACCACAGCTGTCCAATTGTCCAGCCTCCAACGGTGATCCACACAGAGAATTTGATTGCAGCCTCTAGGGTTTTCTCTTGTGCTAGCAAGAATAATGAAAACCTTAATGGACCTCAAACCCTAGTTATGTATTTATATAAACCCAAACAGGCCCGGCCCGGTCCGGTCCAATAATTAATTAATCCAATTAATTAAACCCGGTCCGTGAATTAATTAATCCAATTAATTAATTCGAAAATATAAATAACAAATCCAATTAATTAATTTATTCAACGATTGTTAAATTAACCAATTGGCAATTTGCAATCTTCCAATTCTCTTTTGTGTGTGACCCATTAGGTTCCCGACCACGATGCCTAACGACGTGAAATATTATTTTGATCTAATCAAAATTGATAAATTAAAACACCCTTTTAATTTATCGTCAATTCACATTCGCCGTCCCTGATTGACATCTAGCAATGTGTCAGGGCAATACATGTGACGGGAAATGTCACGTGGTATGACAAAACCAAATTCGTTCGTTTACCGAACATTCCTGAACTGGCTGCAAGACGAAGGGACACAATGGTGCTGTGTGTTCACTTCTTGTGGGAGCTAATAATAGGCTTTATTTGCGTTCGAGCGACAATACCATACGGGTATGCTCTGTTCCAGGAGACTTATTTTCCACAACCTCTTACATTTGAATGTGTTAATAATCTCTCCATGTCAGTAGAAGGTAGAGATCAATTGTTTATATCTATGTTGCCAATTTACCCATGCCTGGCTTATTGACCCATGTCATATATATGAAACGGGAAACAGTTTTCCTTTGTATATGCAATTATCAGTCATGTTGACACTACTAGGACCATTGTTTTGATCTGCATATTCTTTTAATTCGTCTTCTCTCCAAGCTATATTTCGAACACCTGTTGTCAGAGTTGGAGTCGATACAACTTTTTTTCATTTTTTTTTCCCATTTGTTTGATTCCTTCTCTTTATATGGTCCAATGTTTTGAACTCACTGAAGAATTTTGTTCATAAATATGCTCTTTCCAGGTTTGGGACCTCCAAAAGTTGCAGTGTATGCAAACATTACATGGGCATACCGGGGATGTAACTTCTATTATTTGTTGGGGCAGATATTTGGTACTTGCTTCCGTGGACAACAAATTGAAGGTTTAGCACTTCACTGCCACGGATCATTAGTTAGGTGTTGCTTTAGTTCTTAATGGTTCTAATAAGATCATTCTCACTTACAGGTTTGGACTGCAACTGAAAGTGGGAACTTGGAAGTGGTCTATGAGCTAAAGGAAGAATGTGCAAAGTAAAAAAACTGTTCTTCTACGACTTCCCTAGAATGCATTATGTGCATTGTGTTGCAAACCTCTGCCTGTTCTCGGTCTCTTTTGATCTTATAGACTTCTTACATGTTCTACATATGTTACATCTTTCAGGGGGGTTGTTGCTCTTTGTGGCATGACAGATGCAGAAGCTCAGCCTGTTCTTTTCTACTCATATAACGACAATATTGTTTGCATATATGACTTGCCCTTGTTAGTATTATCATCCCTATTGATATTATTCGCACACTCTGTGCTGGTT